CCAAGTTGCCCGGGTACGCAGCGGTATACGACGTCGTCTGACTCTCTGTAGCTGTTGAACCTTGAGGAATTTCTCTCACTGCAACGCTTCTCGGCGCGATTGGACGCGGCAAACTTTATGGACGTCCGGCATTTCCAACCCAAAGACGCCGTCACAGACTGCAACATTTGTCGCCGCAAGTTTGGCTGGTTCGTCTCCAAGAAGCACTGCCGGCAGTGCGGCAAGGTCCTCGCTTCCATTTCGTCCAATTCGATTCTAACAGTCTCTGGGACAGGTCATTTGCTCGACGTGCGGTCGCAACTGGAAAATGCCCATCAACGACAAACCCGTCAAGCTGCGCATTTGCCAGGCGTGCTTCTGCCCCGATCGTACGTCCCTTTGGCACAACACTACACTTGCAACTCAAATCGCTGCGTCGTCTAGAGCCTCAAAAGACCCCAGACGACGAGTACGAGCCCAAACTCATTTTCACCGCCGAAGCCTTCGAGTCGCACCGGTCCATGCACGATGCAATCATGGATTCGCTCCGGCGCTTTGACGAGTCGACGCTCGTGAGCCACGACGAGAGCTCCAATGGCGACGACAGCACGTACTGCGACGAGTCGCCACGGGACTTCCCGCGCATCTCGGCGCTCTCGGTGCTCGAGACCAACACGGCGATCCGCCCGTCCTCGTTCGGCTCGTACCTCTACACAGACAACAATCTCGACGCCAAAATCGCGTAAGTCGGCCGGTTCGAATTTCTATAAATAGCAATTTATCCGGCATCTTTCGAAGCCCATGAAACCTTCGATCTTGGAAAGGCACGACGTTGTACTCGGTACACCGCAAGTGACCATGGCCGCGCGCTTCGCGACAACCGTCCTCTTTGCGCTCGCTGCTGCACAGAGCCAGTCGTACCTCTCGGTGCTCAAGCACCCGGAGCTCGGGCTCCTCGAGCTCGCACCGGCGCAGCAACACACGCCGTTGGACGCCGCTTTGCAGCACCTGCGCCCGCCCCCGCCGTTCGTCCCGCCATCGCCACGTCTCTTTGTGGGACTCTCGGTCTTCCGAGACGGTGATCGCTGCGGGTACACGATCTTCACGGGCTTTCAACGCGCGAGTCACCCAGAGCGACTCCGGTTTGGTGTCATCGATCAGGTCGCGACCGACGACGTCACGTGCATCGACGCGTATTGCAAGCTCGCAAAGAATCAGTGGCCGAGCCACGAGTGCCAGTACAAGGACCACATCACAGTCGAGAGCCGACCTGCCGGCGCGTCGCGCGGCCCGACGTACGCTCGCCACTTGCAGCAGCAGCTCATTCACGCTGACGACGACTTTTGCCTGCAGCTGGACGCCCACAGCGTCTTTACAAACGACTGGGACGCTGCCTTGTTGCGCGAGTGGGAGCGCACCGAGAACGAAATGGCCGTCCTCACAACGTACCTCCACGACCTCCACGGCTATGTGGGAGGCGACGGGAAGAACTGGCCGCCAAGTCAGCTCCCGCATTTATGCACGACCACGCGCGGTGGCAGCGGCTGTGTGCGCAACGTGGGCGCCAGCATGCTCCATCACCCGCAGCGGCCGCAGATGACGGCGCTCTTCGGCGCCGGCCTCTCGTTCAGCAAGTGCCACGCCGAGAAGCGCGTGCTCGTGGATCCGCACACGCCATGGCTCTTTGACGGCGAAGAGTTTCTGCGCGCGTCGCACCTCTGGACGCACGGCTACGACCTCTACTCGCCGAGCATCAGCGTCATCTACCATAACTACAGCAGCGTGCCCAACCGGTTCTTTGCGCTGCCTGTGGACGCCGCCCTTCGCGAGCGCGAGACGACGATGGGGCGCAACCGGTACAACCTCGTCTTGGGCCTCCCCGTGGACGGCCCCGTGACGACAGCCGACCTCGACCGCTACGGGTTTGGCTCGGCGCGGTCCCTGCAAGCGTACTTGGCGTTTGCGGGCATCGACCTCAACACCAACAACGATGCGCAGTCGTGCAAGCAGCTGCATTGGCAGCCGTATACAAACGCGTGCGACGTCGAAGCCCTCGTTGGGCGTGGCTGGCGCATGGAACCAACGGCGCGTCAGAGTCCCATGGCGATGGTAGACGATGTGGCGCCATTAGGGATCCTCTCGGAGCTCGAGGCGCTTGCTCCAGAGAATGCACGAGCGTCGTTGGTGGCCGAATCAAGTACAATGGCACTCGAGACGTTGCCTCCACCCGCTGCGGTCCAACGCAATTACGAGGCCGTACCGCCCCATGCCATGGCCTCGGCCAAGCAGCTCATCGTGCGCGTCCCGTATCAGCTCCATGTTATGATTGCAGTTGTCGCGATGCTCGGCGCCGTGATTGCATTTGCGGCGCACGCCAACCGCAAGCACAAGCGCCGTGTGCGCAAGAACATGATGACCAAGTAATACCACATCGCTGCACTTGTTGATCCATCGGTTGCTGTTGATAAGAGGCGCCTCATGGGCCCATAGGCGTGGCTGCGGAGACTGCTTGCTGGTCTCGACGCCATGTACGAAGAGGTGCGTGGCTGCGTGTCCAAAGCAATCACCAGAGCTACGGACGACTCACGTTGCTTCACCGAACACATTCGATTGAAGATCCAGCGCATGGCCTTTCACGGCAGCACGTGATTGGTGCAAATAATTACGTTTCGACCAATGGCCTGTCAGAACATTCCACTCTGGCAGAGGGCAATTTCCATTCCCACACGCCCATGAAGTCGGTGTCGCTGCTGCTGCTCTCGGCCATCGCGCTGGCGCTTGCCAAGCGCCCGCAGAGCATTGCCTTTTCGTGGCCGGAAGGCGACGACAAGAAGCACTACGACCCCGATATGGCGCCCGAGACGCAACACATCCCGCTCGACCCGATGGACGCGGCGCTGCGCCCGCCGCCGCCACGCGTGTCGGCGACGCCCGACATCTTTGTGGGCCTCTCGACGTTCCGCGACGGGCACCGGTGTGGCTACACGCTCTTTACGGGCTTCAAGCGCGCCGTGCACCCCGACCGCCTCTACTTTGGCGTCGTCGACCAGGTCAACCCCGGCGACCTCCGGTGCTTGGACGAATATTGCAAGATGGCCAATGCCGAATGGCCCGAAGAAGAGTGCAAGTACAAGGCGCAGATCAAGATTGACGAGCGCCTCGCCGACGACTCGCGCGGCCCGACGTACGCGCGCCACTACCAGCAAAAGCTGGTCGGCGACCAAGAGTTTTGCCTCCAGCTGGATGCGCACTCGGTGTTTACCAACGGATGG